CGCTGCATTTTGGATGTACTGCAGCTGCTTTACAGCCTGTTTGGAGAGACCTGTGAGCAGGCCATTACAGTAGTCTAACCTACTGGAGACAAAAGCATGGATAAGTCTTTCTAAGTCAGGTTTAGACACAATACCTTTGATTCTGGAAATGTTTTTTAAATGATAAAAAGCCACTGATGTTATTGAATTTATGTGCCGCTGAAAATTCAGCTCTGTGTCCAGGACTACCCCAAGATTTCTAACCTGATTTACAGGTTTCAGGGAGAGAGACTGCAGGTAACTGGTGACAGTTTCTCTTTGCTTCTGAGGTCCAAAGACAATTGTTTCTGTTTTATCCGAATTAAGTTGCAGAAAATTGCTTTGCATCCACACACCGATTTGCTGGATACAATGGCAGAGTGAGTCCAATGGTCCATATTCTCCTGAAGTTAGTGAGACGTAGAGCTGAGTATCATCAGCATAATTGTGATAAGAAACATTTTCATTGTGAATTAACTGGCCAAGTGGTAACATGTAAAGATTAAATATCAGAGGTCCTAGGATTGACCCCTGTGGTACTCCACAAGTCAAGGCAATGTGGTCTGAAACACAATTTCCAATCTCAACATAGTACATTCTATCCTCTAGATAGGACCTACACCACTCTAGAGCCATGCCAGAGATCCCCACCCAGTTCTCCAGTCTCTGTAAAAGGATTTCATGATCCACAGTATCAAATGCTGCACTTAAATCTAATAAAACTAGCACTGAGACTTTGCCAGCGTCCGTGTTCAAACGTATGTCATTTACCACTTTAATTAGGGCAGTCTCTGTGCTATGGTTTGGTCTAAAACCAGATTGGAACACATCAAATGAGTTGTTTGATAATAAAAATCTCATCAGTTGTTGATAGACAAAAATGCGCTATATAATTAAACATTGCTTACTTACTTACTCTCCAGCTTATAGCTTTAGGCTAATTTGCATTTGTTGTCTAACAGTTGCACTCACAAACAGACGTATATATTTATTTATCTAATTATTTGACATAGAAATTGGGAGTAGTGGCACAAGAAAGATGGGTCCAAAAGAGAGGACAAATGTACAAGGATAATCAAATGCCCGCATAAAATATTAAATACAAATAAACAGTGTAAGTAACAAGAAACAAGTCAGTTCATTTAAAAATTCATTTATTTCAAAATTTTCCGCCTTTGTTATACAAAGATGTTAAATAACTTAAATACATTCTTACCAGTCATTTGTGATCTGTTTATACCTACAAGCTATACACATGAGGTAGAGGAAAATAATTTAGGATTCCCATAAGACATGAAGAAGTGAACATGGATGAAGCTTTTGTCTGCGTAATGTCCTCACAATGGCTAAAACATGTCTGCATATGTCAACACAAGCACAAACAAACCTCAATCAGAGAAATTGGGAAAAAGAGGAAGTCAAACATGAGATTCTTACTGAATTCAGAGCAAGTTTGTAGAGATTTGCGGGTGTTCTTAGCTGTGATTTGAAATGACGCTGGTTAAAGTACTGTATGACGAGCCTCCACCCCAAAACAAAACACCAAGAGAACTACAAAAATAGGTACAAAGACAAGAATATAAAATCAATTTAGTCTTATTTACACTAGACACATGCTCATAATATATTTAAAAATAATTTATCTTTTTCTACAAAATAGACTTTGTATATACATGATCCACTGAACGAAGCCGGGTTGTCTAACACTGGCGAGAATTAAAATATGTGAAGTGGAAGTGTACGAGCAGGATTGTCATGGTTTTACTGTGTGTATATAGCATGGTTGGCATGGTAACCGACGGAAATTGCCAGGATTTGACAAACGTATTCTGATTTCAGTATTATTTTGACTGTATTAAAGATGGGGACATGCCTTTTTCCACTATATAAGAAATCTCTCTCATAATCAAGTATATTTTGATACAGTCCAAATATACTTCATACTAAATATCAGGATAAAATGAGCAAAAGTTAATAAGATGTAAGATTTCAGGCTTTTGTAAAGTAAAAACTGATTGAATAATGTAAAGCTTTTCTATCACGCTGAGGTGCATTTTAAAGCTGGGGTACCTAACTTTGTTTTCCATAAAAAACATATGTATCAGTCTTGGAACAGTAACATATTCAGACCAAAACATACTGTATTCAACTTATTATAAAACATGTTATCTTAAAAGAGCTTTGTGAGTCACTGTTTGATGCTGAGAGCTGATTGGCTGGTGGTCTTCTCTGTTATTTCTTTTGATATTCTGTCGGATTAACAATACAAGTGAAAAAACATACATGTGAAAACTAGAGATAGAACAAAGGTTTTTCATAATTTTGATATGACTAAATTGTTTTGTGGTCTGAAATGTAAGTATCCCAGCTTTAAGCAACGAATTACAAGCACAGTGCACCTTTGGACAAGATAATATAACAGCAATACTTGCCGGTTAGGAATGTATTTATTGGCCTAGTGCTCGAGATAGGGGCTTTTTGAGTGTGAAATAAAGCTTGGGGTGTAATTATCATAAAAATACAGTTTGGGAAACACTGGTTTGCCCATGAAGTTCTAATTTCCTTGATGATTTTGATACTAATTGTGTTATAATGGCTTTGGGAGGGGGTGGACAGACTGACCTCAGGGTGTATGTGTGTGTGTGTGGATGTGTGTTTGTGCGCATGTGTGTGTGTCTGAGTGTGTACTTTTTTTGAACCTTGTTTTGTCTGGTGCACACTGGGGACTTTTGCATAAGTATTCCAATGTGGTTTTACTGCAAATGGTAAATAAATGAATCTGAATGTGTTTGTGTGTGTGTGTGTGTGTGTGTGGAGCTGTGGGAAGCAGGCATTCAAGCGCTGGGCCTTTGCATAGCTATTATGGTTTCCATGTAGCGTGCAAAGTTTCTATGTATATTCCTCGCCCGCTCTAAACTTGGCGTGCCTTCTCTTATCAAAATGCTTGGAATTCATCTCGTCAGCGCGGAATGGATGCAAAACACGGTGACGTCGAACCAATTACTGCTGCGTGCGAGAGCGAAGCCTCACGGTTGTCGGGCGCTACCACAGGAGAACTCGTATTTTGTATTTACAATTCAAAACTGCGCTGTATCTATAAATACAGACTTTTAAATAGTTTTAAAGGGCTTTTTTTGGGATTCAGTGCGTTAATGTTGCTATACTACAATGCTGGGTCCCTCACTCAGTAGTTAAATCATCTCATAATTACACTTATCACAAGGAAATATATAATCTCTGCATTGTCTCATACTTTGTCGTGTAGTAATGTTAAATACGAGCTAACTGGTTGGCTAGTAAAACATATTTAAATATGCACAATTTGTCGAACAAGCAAATATTATACAAAATGTGTTTTCGTTTGCTACAGGGCTGACGCATTGGTCTTCACAAGTTGGATTTCCGCCTCAGGTTAGCCCCGTATGCATGTCTGTATTGCTTAGAATATGGCTCAATCATGAATGTTCAGAAGGAGAAGGATGTGGAATGGCTGGGGGCGACATTCCCCCGGGTCTCCAAAGGTTTTCTACGCAACTTCAAACGCAAAAGATGGTAAAAGGATTCTTTGGATGATCACACAACCCAGTGTCACATAGTTGCTGCTTTAAAGAAGACATACCATGCTCCAGTCTGATGTACAATGAAAATCTATGACAGCTTTTTTTCATTCCGCTCAATATCGATATAAAGTTCTAAAAAGCAGCTAGTTTATATCAAGATATCTGGCATGTATACCAACATATGAAATGTAGTCAATGCCGTTCAGCTCTCGAACACTGCTAAGGCCGCAAATGAAATTGGCATTCAGCAGATTTTTCTCAAATTAGTGGGTTGGTCACGTTGGTGTCTTAGGTGTAGAAGAATATAAATGACAAAAAAATGTAAGAACAGTGCTCAAATGCTCAACAGCTTTGAAAAGTTGATATCGTAAGTCATGTCCCCTTTAAAATTGTGAAATAGTTGATCGGCCAGTTGAAAATAGACGTGATGAAATGCTGAAAGAATGGATGTGGATGGTGACTCACGTTCCGCTAAACACGACCTTGGCATCTGCCCTGAACCAGAGCTATTCTGGCAGGGCACACAGCTGCATTTTGCTATAAAAGATGAATATGCACTGACAGGAAATGCCAAAAGGCTGGAAAACATGTATCACTGTCGCCAGATCAATATTAAATACATTTTTGGATGGGTTTGACTTGAGAGACTGGGTTGGAGTCATTTGTCGATTGCGTGTGAATAGTGTTGTATGTTTTATCCAAATAGTGGTTTTAAGTAATTCCCTGAACACTGCTTTGCTCAAGGCTGAGATAAGCCCGGTTTCCTGTTATATTATATCTTTATGAAAAAACAAAATCTATTCTTCCTGTAAAGGAGTAGTCCCAAAGGATTTATAAATTAGCAAGACATTGAACACAAGTGCGCTGCTTTCCAAAGGGCCTTGTCAGAAAGAATCAAGAGGAGAGGGGAGTAAGAGCACACAAACAGAAAACATTTGTGTGTTAGTGGTTCCTTTTAGCATACTTAGATAAGTGGCTTGTATAATATCTTTACATGAAGAATATACTGTACAAACACACTGTGTTTGGGTGTAAATATGTGTACGTAGATCACTCTTACACCCGGTCTTTATATAGTCTCTGGTTTCCTTTGCCATAAGTGTCGTCAATGTGCTCGCTCAACCACAAGTAGAAAAACACTGTCGTTGAGTCTGCTGGTGTCCCAGTGCTGCAGCTGGGCTGGTTTCCTGTCATAGTTGCATTATTTGTAGTATTTTTATATATAATTCAAAGTTGTATTCTACTTTTTGTTTAATTGTAGGTTGTTTTTCTCCTGACAAGGCAACATGGCGGCGTGGAGTTGCTGACTCAGCAAAGATGACTTCTGCAAAGCCCAGATAAAACATAAAGAGCTCTGGACAGAAATCGCTCAAAGTGCTCATTGCTCCTGCAGTCCAGTCCAGTCCAGTCCTGGTGCTGGCTTCAGCCCTTGCAGGTGTACACCTCCTCTCTTTGCGTGCACTGTTTGCACTCCACATAGCAGCACCAGCGGACCTGGCACTGGCAGGGCCGCGTCACCTCTCGGCTCTGGGTGTTGTGGCCCCGGCCGCAGCAGATGGCGTCACAGTTTTTGTCCTTGTAGCACTTGCGGCCTGCGGTTCCTGATGAGTACTTGCTGGCTCTGCAGAAGCTGGGAGAGTCCTCGATGTGGAGTAGGTCCATAGTCCGGGGGATGTGGTCGTTGGGCCCAGGCAGGGGCTGAGGCGGCTGGCTACGTCCTGTAGAGATCTCCCCTTCTCCGGTTGCCTCGTTGGTGGAACTGCCCACCTTCACAGACGCTTCGTAGCGCTGCTTCAGCTGCTTGCCCACCTCATGGAACGGCATGAGCTGCCTCCAGCAGGTCTGCACTGTGCACGAGCCCGACACACCGTGGCACTTACACGTGGTCTCCACTCCAGCCTTGATCACCTGTATCAGGACACACACACACACTCAGTCAGTGTCTGCTTACAGAGAAGAAACAACCCACTCAATGAGTCCCCAAACCCACTATTGTATCAATGCTTTGTCAAGTTTAAAATCTAATAACCACATGGGCTAACATACAAAAATACTAACCCATTCAAATTGAAGAATGGTTAAAATGTATAATTATAATTGCAATGATTTCTGCAATGTTGTTGACAATAAAACTACAGCACAAGAACTCTAAAACTGAGGCTAAATTACCACATGGCAAAACACTTATGATCACTATATTTTGCAGCAGGAGTTAATTCAACTTCCATACGTGCAATTATGTATACCTTGCGAAAGTATTCGGCTCCCTTGAACCTTTCAACATTTCGCCACATTTCAGGCTTCAAACATAAAGATATTAAATTAAAAAATTTTGTCATGAATCAACAACAAGTTTTTTATTTGTTAAAAAAGTTTAAATTATCCAATACATTTTGTTCCACTTCACAATTGTGTCCCACTTGTTGTCGATTCTTGACAAAAAAAAAATATTTTTTATATCTTTATGTTTGAAGCCTGAAATGTGGCAAAATGTTAAAAGGTTCAAGGGGGCCGAATACTTTCGCAAGGCACTGTAAGTACCGTTTATCACTTGGGGGCAATTTGAAGCGACCAATTGAAGCTGCAGGCAAAACAAGCCTCCTCGATTAAATATTTCAGGCTCAGCTCCTGTCGGCTCCTTTGACATGAACTTGCAAACTGCATATATCCAACACTGACTGTGCAAAACTGCGGCCGATCTATCTTTTCACCTGGTCCGTCATACATTAGTGCGGGGAAAGCAGAGGCCGTCAGCTAAAAAGCACTTGTCATGTTATCTTAGCAGTTCTTGACCTCTCCGCGGTTGGCCAGAGTTTATTGCAGCCTGCACCACATAGGGGGGAAAGAGGTTTGCGTGTGAGAGTAATGCATTGTCTGGGAGGTTTGGATCCAGAGCCCATTTTCACAGACTGGGAAGTTCATCTACCCAGCAGGGCCAGAGCACTCTTGGCTTGGGCGGCGTTCGCATGCTGGTGGTGAGGGTCTGCAGAGGCTAGCACATTCCGCCTTGCTGCTCTGTCTCAAAGTTGTGCAAATCACCATGAAAATGCAAAAACAAGTCCATAAATTGTCGATCCATTCTCCAGCTGTATATATTTTGCAGGCATAAATCTAAGAGAAGTCTAAATGTCTTTTCAAACATTGGCGTGAGTGGCTTTCTCTATGGGAAGACCTTTTCCTTTCTGTAATTACACTACAACAATTGACTTGGATGAAAGAAACAGGTATACCACTGAAACAAACTAGCTACAGCTACTACGTCCCGTGAGGGGCTTGTCCTCTTTCATTGTCCCTTTTCCAGCACCTTCTCATCTCGCCACTATTTGAGAAATGCACGGAGCACGTCTTCTGTTGGGGCCTTCTAATTGATGTATTCGTGGAGTTTGGATGTTTCGTCCTGGACAGTGGCTCTCACTCTCACTGGTCCTCAGCTCCCTTCTGTACAGCGTAGTCTCAGGGTGCTGGATTCTCTGATGATATAAAGCGACAGTGGCTGAGTTGGTAGAGCATTGGTCTTTGGACTTGAAGGTCGTGGGTTCGATCCCCCCACGAGACCTACTCCAACTGCTCCCACTCAAGTCTGCTGTCGTTGTGTCCATGGGCAAGACACTTAACCCCACGTTGCCCGAAGTCCCCGCTGAAAGACCAAGGCTGTGTCACCGTTGACGGAGCAGCCATCTTCCAGTGGATCCACCACCTGAAGGAGGATCAGTGAGGGACCGGTGCTATGAACATTGGGTGGCGGCTCTGATTGCCACCCCTCTGATCCAGAAATGGACTAATAAAGGGTTAGAAAATGTATAAATGAATAAACCTATTCCTCACCTTCATGCCCACGTTGGTGTTGTGCATGTCCACGCGGGCTCGCAGGTCCTTGTTGGAGCGTTTGCCCAGGAAGTCCTTGACAAACTTGTTGGCGTACTTGAGGTTGTCCCCGCAGCCTCCCCACTGCCAGGCCTTGCGGTTCTCCAGGTGCGGGGCCTCGTCACACGTGCAGCGCTCCATGCGGCCTGCACTGCACGCTTTGGCCAGCGCATGGGTCAGCCCCGCCGAGGAGATGGCGTAAAGGAAGGCTGTCTCTTTGAACCCTGCAGAGGAACAGAAAAAGCGAACAAGCATTGATTCATTGTTTCTAACAAAATGTGCACATGAACTGCCCCAATCAAATAAATAAATAATTGTTAACTAGATGTTTTATTTTTAATATAATCTTGCAGGGTTTTTTTTTAAGTATCTTTACTTAGTTGCTAGAGTTTCTAAGCTCAGTAGGCCTGTTAGGAGTTTATGTCATGGTGTGGATTTTGTTATTTTGTACTTTAGTTTTAGTTTGACATTTTTCTCTGTAGTTTGGTTTTAGTTTGACTTCCTGTCCTGTTTTCCCCTGTCTTGATTGTCTGCCTGGCCCTGATGTGTATCACCTGTGTCTCTGTGTCTATATGTACCCTGTGATTCTCTCCTCTTGTTGCTGGTCCATTGTATTGTCAACGTCCTGTATTGTCTTATTGTCTTGTCAAGTTCTGTTCCTGGTTCCTTTGGAGTTTTTGAGATTTGTTTTCACCTTGTAATTTACTGTGTTAAATCATTATTTTTGCATTCCTGCATTTTGGGTCATCTCATCATTTCACCACGTAACAGTTTAGATCTAAGAATTTACCCTTACCTTGAAAGAACTGTTCTTACTCTGATAGGTTATATATAAGGTAATAACCTAACAAACCTAACCCTAGCATGGCTATAACTGTTAGAGAATTAAAAAACATGACATACAACAAATGAATAACACAGTGAAACACTTTTCAGAGTAATGAGTCACAGATCTGTTGAATCAATATAGTTGGACCAACCAAGTTATTGCTTTAGATGACCAGTGGATAAGAATATATAAGAGTACTTTTATTCGTGACACAGTGGGGAATTTGGATACAGATGCATTGGCCCACAGAATCCATTCAATTGGCCCAAAATCCTAAAGCTTTAAACCAGACCTGAACCTAGACTAATCCAGTTCTGAAACTAGCAAAAGACCTCCTCACAGTCCTTGCAGTCATTTCCGTACCTCTCTTGAGAATGTTGCCTCGGTGGCGCCCCTCCAAGGTGCAGTTCCACCTCTCGAATCTGAACTGGTACTGGCACTCGAGGGCGCTCAGGGTGATGGCGTCTCGTAGGGTCTCAGCGACACCCGGGTCCCGTCGGCACATCCTGCGCTGCTTCTTCTCCAGTTTGAGCCGGTCGCACAGTTTGTAGTGAGCTCTGCCGGTCACCTCCTCAGGCAGCGCGTTCAGCGGCAGCACCGACAGCGGCTCATTACCGGTCAACCTGCAACACACACAAACACACACACATACTTTTACAAATACCGGTTATGAAAACACACAAATAAATCCATACAGTAGAACAAACTATGTATTGTCCAGTAATGAGGTCTTGCGTCTTGAACGTTCAAGGATAACGTTTTTGCACTTCAGTTAATGTACAGACCGTAACAAATGTGACATTTTAGTTGCGCAGTCTTATTTTCCTATTTTTTTCTAATGCCTTTGAATAATATGAGGGACATGAATCGTAATAAATCGCAGAATTGAATCGCACTACAGAATTTAACAGAATTTAAGTATCTATCTACATATCTTTCTATCTACCTATAAAATGTTAACAATTATAATAATATTGAATTGTGGTTATCACTATCAATACTATCGAACAGTCCCAACAATTCCCACCACTAATGAAAACAAACACAAGACAACATTCATAGAACAGACAAAGAATTGTGGATCTGTATACTTGCATTCTATATCTTTCCAAGACGATATTCCAAGTTATAAAAAGCATAATGTAAAATAAATTGTTGCATGAATTCCCTCTAAAATTCCAATACTGATATTGTGCAAAAACAGACCAATTAGGGTTGTAATTAACGATTATTTTGGTTAATTGGTTGATTATTCTTTAGATTAATCGATTACTTGTTTTGTTGTTAAGTTCCCAAAAGCTGAGAAAATATGGTATTTTTTATATATTTGACAAAAACAAAGCTCAAGTGATGCCCCTGGAAAACAACTTCAAAGAGATGATTACTTTTAGATACTTTTAAAACACATTTTCATTTAATTATGAAGTCAGTATAGATTTCATAAAGTCGAAAAAACTCATAGTTATAAAACCTCTTCTCAGCATCACTACGTCAACAATTAACGATCATAAACTATTTCAATAATCAATCGATAGTTGTGTAGATACATTTTCTTTTTGCTGTTTTTTATTTTATTTCAGGCATCACAGGAGCAACACAGTCAATCACAATCAATTTGCCTGAAAGGGAAATGGGAAGAAGAGAACTTGTTACAGCCATGATAGTAATTTTTCAGATATTTGAAACCCGGGTTTGGTCCATTTGTGTTAAATATTCTGCAGAAGTGGTTAATCTTCAGATTAACCATCTCCAGAAGCTCAGCCGCTCCTGGTTAATGTTCAGAGGAATGTTGCATTTTCTGGAGACGGAGATCAATCTCTCAACTTTTGTGTGTGCAGGAGGAAACTGTCTGCAGCGGTAAGTTAAAAAACCTAAATTTATTTAGTAGTCAATCTAAACAACTAATTGATTATCAAAATAATAATCAAATATTTATGGACATTGGTCATCTACCCCTTATGGACCAATGTGGTTTTTTTTATCATTGCATTTATTTGTGTTTGAACTGTTTGATTCTCTGATCTGTGTTGGCGAATTCAATGGTTTTGTAACGTCCTCAGAGATAACGACTGTTGTAACTTAGGACTATACAAGAAAACATTGAGTTGAATTAATTAAAGCCTTAACAGCTACATTCATTCACTTATTTGACTAAGCAGATCATTCTGGCCTCCACACACAGTGACCATGCTGTAAAGATCAGAAATCAACTGTAGCAATGGCTAAAATGAAAAACTGTTTAAGCAGAGAAACAGCTGATGAGGCGTGCAGGTGCGGCGTCACGATATATGTTCTGGTAATAACATTGTGTCGAGGTAATCTTACGATTGTCTGGTACAGCAGTAAAAACTTCATCGACAAAGAAGACGAGATGAACCTTCCTAAGTCCTAAAAATATGCCGAGAAACCAGTCAGATGGGATTAGTTTCATTCATGCATGTTAGAAAGTCATCCTGCTCCCTATGGACCAATGGGGTCTATGTGTTTGTTAATGCTGCGTTTCCTGTGTTTAAACTGATTGATTTTCAGATCTGTTGCAGGCAAATCACCATCTTTATAAAATCCTTAATTAAATGTAATGGCTTTGAAGTTTAGCTATGCTTTCTTGTAATTCCGGCCTTAAAGGAGGATGAAAGAAGGCCAAAAATATCAAAATACACACCACTTCAGATGTCGGTGATTGCTCTAAACATGTGACACGGGGAAATGTCAGACAGTTTAACGAGTCTCTGCAATGTCCAAAGCTCATACATATATATATTGAGGGCTAGGTTAAAACTGGAGCACCTAAACCACAAAACCACTGTCACAGCTTTAGATCAGCATTTTTAGACAAAAAAGGGAAAAAATAGAGAACCAGCCTCACTCAGCATCAACTCAAAAATCAGCCTATATTGTTCACTTTTAATGTTTGTGTAAGCCCTCAGTCGTACAGGGATTAGTCAAAGCAAAGGAAGGTTTCTCACCCATCATCTGTACTTCTTAGCAAGTTTTCCCGACGTTTCATCCTCAAACTAGCGGACTTCTTCAGGGAATGTATTCTCGGACCACGCGTTGGAGATTTATAACCTATGGGTGTGGTTAGCCACACCCTAATCCTGATACTAACTCATAAACAATCTACGGTCTGCTTGATGTAGCAGGGAGCAGGTCTAACGACCCTGCTGAGGCTAACGACCCTAACTCCTTAGCATGTCACAGACCTTGTCCCAAGTTAGGGCGTTCATCTCCACCTCAAGGCCTCCAACCACACGGTGGATGACACAGAGGTTAAAATTCTGGCTCGGGAGAAGAATTGGTTTGAGAGAGGGGTGAAAGAAGCCTTTTTTGTGAGGAAACAAAAACCTTCTCTTAACAGAGGAGGAGGGTTAAGATTTGTTTTGCCTCGCATCTATGACGACATCCTAAAAACAACGCCCTAACTTGGGACAAGGTCAGTGACATGCTAATGAGTTAGGAGGGGTGAAACCTGCACTCCACTTGATGATCCCAGCAGACAATAGGTCTGTGACATGCTAAGGAGTTAGGGTCGTTAGCCTCAGCAGGGTCGTTAGACCTGCTCCCTTCTACATCAAGCAGACCTTAGTTGTTTATGAGTTAGTATCAGGATTAGGGTGTGACTAACCACACCCATAGGTTATAAATCTCCAACGCGCGGTCCGAGAATTAATTCCCTGAAGAAGTCCGCTAGTTTGAGGACGGAACGTCGGGAAAACTTGCTAAGAAGTACAGATGATGGGTGAGAAACCTTCCTTTACACTTTTAATGTTGCGACAAATGTAGTATTCATGAAACAAAAAAGTCTCCCCCAGCTTTAAGTGAGAATTAGGAGAGTTCACTGACAGTGTTTTGTGTAAAAAGGAAGATTGTCCATTTCTTAATCCCTCCTCCTCCATAATATCCAACTTCTGCATTCAAAGATTTTATGCATGACTTCAAAGTGTTGGAGACTTCGGGAGCCTCTTTTCTGTTTCATCAACGAATTGATTGAAATGTCATGTTTTAACTTAAGTAGGGCTGTAACAAGTTAATGGGTTAATTGCAACTAATTAATTATTGAAATAATGTCAACCAAGTTACTAATTTATTATCATTTTGTGGACCTTACATAGACTTCAAAATTCTGAGTAGAGGTTTTTGACTCTAAGAAAAAGTTCTCTAGAAGCTGTGTTTGAGCCGCCTTAAGGTCAACAGAAAAAAAAGTAATTCTAGAACTTTATGACAGCTAACATTGCACTAGCACTAGTCAAACTGTAAAATTGCAACTTGATTCTGTGTGTTTCTATTTATCTTGTGTCTGCATATCTTGTACATCTATTTAGAATTGTTTTTAATTGATTTGATGGTGCTTCTTATCCAAACAAATTCCATTGCATTGCTACAACAACAGTGTGATGACTTGTTTGACAAATCCCATATTCACTGACCTATCAAGATATAAACCAGGGGTCTCCAACCTATAGCTTGGGAGTAACCGTGTAGCTCCCCTATGGATACATTTTTAAATATAAAAATGCCCTACTTTTTGAAGTCATCAATTCATAGATATAACACTACACATCAAAAAATGCCACAAAAAAGAGAGAAAAAGCCAGAAATTGTCTAAATTGTCCGACATTAATGACAGAACATTTTGGAAGAAGAAATAGATTTGCTCATTGAATTGAAAGAATAATTGTCCAACTATTCATTTACTAAAACAATCGTCAACTATAGCCATAGGGTCAGGTGACAATTTCCTAGTCGTTTTTTCAACCCTAGAAGCCTTTCACCGATTTACGCCATAATCCACTCATCACCTGTGCCTCGTGCCCTTCCTCTCTCATGTGTGAAGTTTGCACATCAAGCCAAATCAATTACAGCCTGGTCCAAGTGTGCTTCGGAGCAAAAACCACAAGCTGGCGGGCGCCGTGCCAACACCGGCCCTGCGCACTACACATCACTGCAAGTTATTTTCCCTACAAAAAAAAAGAACCGGGGCACCTGCTCTGTGTCACTCCGGTTCACTTCATGTAGGACCCTCTGTGTTGACTGCTTTCAGCTTCATTAGGGATTTTTTCTCAAAGAAATCTGTCACCGCCATCGCTCACCTCTCCCCATGCGCGCAGGGTCAGGCGGTCTTAACCTACGGGCTATTTGTTGTATCATGTCCAAAAAGGCTGATTGAAATGTTTCCCCCCGTAGTTTCGTCGGAATGAATTTTAATAGTTTGCATATGCCACATTGGTTACATCCATGACGGAATAGAAACGGGCAAATAAATGAAGGAATGGAGAGTTCGGATTGGGTCAAATGGTTGCAAGCTTTATAAGACATGTTTGCCTTTCTTAACTCGTCTGACAGCTATGGAGTTTCAAAACGGAAAGCTGGCAAGCCACGTCTTGACGGAGATTCCTCTTTGACACAGTGAGCAAAAATGAACACAATGAGCTATTATGGCTGTGTTAAAAAAAAGTGGCAATTTTCTCGAAACCACCGTCAGACACTGAGAGCATTGCAACCGTGAACAATGGCTTTGGGGGAAAAAAAGGTCTCGAAAGCATAGACGTGCGGGATTGAACGGTGGCGCCGCACAGGGAACACGCCTAATACCATTTAAGACGCGCGCGTTGGTGTTGCGTCG